CGAGGCAGGAATGGAGGATGGGCCGAGAGAGGAGGGATGGTGATGGTGCCTCTGCTGCCTTTCTCTCTCTCTCTCTCTCTCAAAATAGCCTGACCCGCTTGCCCGCAGTGAGGTGTGGGTTCGAGGTGAAGTAGAAACACTCACTCTAGCAGGAATCCACATTGAAGCTCACGTCGGAGCACTTAGCATGAACTCATGATCCACGCACGAACCACCGATTCACGGAAGCACCAACTCACAGCACCGAATCCACCACGAACCCAAGATGCACCAAACACCGAATCCACGAAGTGGCAAGGACGAAGCACGAAGCATGAAGCAAAGAATCCAGAATGCTTCACGGAAGCACCAAGCACGTACCCTAAAGCACCGAAGCACGGACCACGTACTACGGAGCACCAAAGCGGAAGGCCCCCCCGGGGGGCTGTCTCTTATACACATCTAGATGTGTATAAGAGACAGCCAGTTCTCTGCTGCTGTACTCGTACTCAGTGTGACTTGCTGTTTTTGGCATTCGGGAATCCAAGACTTCGACTTTGTGCCTTGCCACTGTGTCTACGTCCGATCCTCAGTCCGAGTCCGTCGTGTCGAGTGAGTGTGTGTGTGTGCTCTCACTCTCTCCCTCTCTCTCTCTCCTCTCCCTCGGCTCACCCTCAGCCTCACGCTCGTTACACTCACCGACCATCTTAAACTGCATGCCCTGAGCAAAACCTGCAAGTATNAGAGAGAGAGAGAGAGAGAGAGAGAGAGAGAGAGAGAGTGCAGGCGGGACTAAGCACGTCGAGCGGGAGTAGGCCCCGGGCGTAGCGAGTAGGCGAAAGGAGGATCGTCGACGCGGGAGTAGGCGTGCAGTGGCCGTAGGCGTGTCGAGTACCGGCCGCCCCCCAAAACCCTTCCACAAAAAACGACGAAAATCAACCGAAAAATGAAAAGAAAAAAGGAAAAGCGGAAGGGCCGAACCGGTATCGCACGGCCCGGATTGCGGGCCAGTCACCACCTGAGGACGGCCCAGATCGCAGGCCGATGAGAAAAGTTTCTCATCGCCCTGCGATCTGGGTCGTCCGCGGGTGGTGACCGGGCCGCAACCTGGGCCGGTAGATATGACGTTAGCGATTCTTATAGTATTGTAGATGTAGAAGTCAACTCTGCAGACAACTGCATTTCCTATTGCACCAATCCATGACCTCCCTTTCCTTTGTCCCCACAACATAAAAACAGCAACGGTGTTGAGCGCATCGGCTCCCGCCTTTTTCGCAAAGGCAGAGAGCCCTCCCGGCCACGTCACACAGGAGTAAAGGAAAACAAGAGACAAACTTGGACACAACCCGTAAGAAACCCCGCGAACCGCCGAGACGGACGCAGTTGCCTTGTGTCCAAGTTTGTCTTTTGTTTTCCTTTACTCCTGCGTGACGTGGCTGGGAGGGCTCTCCACCTTTGCAAAAAAGGGAGGAGCCGATGCGCTCTAACGGTGGCGCCGTTGCCGGGAAGGGCTCTCGCCTTTTGCGAAAAAGGCAGAAGCCAATGCACTCAGCAATGGAATCGGTCGTCTTCTGACATCGTTGCATGTTTCCACAGTTTACTTCAATGCGCTGCTTGACTTCCTAAAACTTCAAACTCGGTTGACCAATGGTCTGGTAAGGTAAATCGGACTTAACAGTCTCAACAACCACTCAAGACCGAGCACAAAGCAACCACGCATGACAAGAAGCTGACCGAGAAAGCTCGGTTCCACGTGCCGTTAACTGGTGTTCCCAGCCGATAATGCTGACCGGCCTAATATTGACTTTTCCACATTGCCCTTCCACAAGTTCTCAGTTGATTCAGCAAATCTGTGTCTATTCCCTCCACTGACGTTTCTTCCGCTACTCATTTTCACTCGAGAGTTCTTACATGTAGAAAGTTACCGGACTTTCTCTGATTGCCTGTCTGCAAGTTGGACATTTCATCAGTGGGAAGTACAACATTCGGGATTTTATCACAAGACGATAGACTCGATGGTGTGGTATGGTTGCAAAGGTCACTGAATTGATAACTAGTTTCACACAGAAGGCAAACTAAGAGCAACAGGGATCGAGTCCTGCGCCCCTACTATTGTTTCTGATGAGCACCAGTCCTCTGGACTTGGCACCAAGCAATTTTCAGGGCATCGGAAATTCCCAGTTCAGGTATGCTGATGTCAAAGTCATCTTTCGAATTCCAAACAGGAAATCCGACCTTCAGTCGTTGCGCCAAAGTTTTCTATTGAATTTTCAAACTCCATGACACCATCAGTTCAGTTTGGGTTCATTAGACCCAACCTCCAGTCAACTGTGCACTCGTCATGGAATCCACTTCACATCAGTCTGTATATTAAGAGAAGAAGTGCTGACGGAATCATCGTGTGTCCTGTCCTGTCCTGTCCTGTCCTCTCGCTCTCTGTCTGCTCTCCTTCCCCTCCCCCCCCCACCACCAGCAAACACACACATTGGCCATGTGAGCGAAGCAAATGGCATGACATGTGACCACGACGGTTGATCAGAGAAGGAACTGCAGTTGCAGAGGGGATAGGAAGGCACTTCACCTATTGCTGATGGAGTGCCAGGCAGATATGCCACTGTGAACAAGTAAATACCTTCATTTGATTCATTTGAGAAATAAACCCTGAAGTGAGTCCTTCTGATGCCAGCAACCTTGTGAGTGCTCTTAATCCTATCTGCATTATGTGAAATGGCCTCCATCTTTAATAATGCCAGCACACCATGAGATTCCATTACACGATCCATCCAATGCAGCATGGTTGGGATGATGTCAGTGGAAATCTATACATTTCTCAATATGTTCTTGCCATCCTTGTGCATCTGGTGTGATCTTCTCTGTATCCATTTGATTCCGAAGAGTCCATCTGATTCTAAAGGATCTCCCCAAGGCTAAACTACATCCCCTCGAACGTTCTGCAGACAGGGCACAGATGGCGTGGTACTACCTAGTTAACTGGATGTATCAGAAATGGCCAGTAGACCGACGATAGGAAATACTGTCATAGTACCGTTTCATACACCCACTGGGCTAGCTCATTTGGTACATACCTGACCTATTGAAATACGGACCTATATTCGGACTCCAGTGGAAACAAATGAGTAAAATACTACAATTCTGGATTACCTACGGCTGGGACGTTGAATGATGTCATCTGATGGCCGCAGCGCTTCATTTGTTTTCATTATTTTTTTTTTACGTTGCCTCGCTCTCTAGCTACATGTACAGGCAATACCTTCCCTAAGCGGTTCAAAGGAGGACCACCAACCTATGGAAGCAACAGGGACACAGCTTAAATTCACTACCCCAAGGTAAACTATACTAAGGTTATGGGTCTACACCTACCTATCTCTGCTCTGTGCGGGGAGCAGCACCCAAGCTGCTAACACCTGGTGCGGTCTGCAAAGAACCACTTACTTCCACAACCAGCACTTCATAAAAGAACGGAAAAGAAAAAAATAAAGGAAATACAGTCATACAAGTCCATTTCTTAAAGGACCACCACCAACCTATGGAAGCAACAGGGACACAGCTTAAATTCACTACCCCAAGGTAAACTATACCAAGGTTATGGGTCTACACCTACCTATCTCTGCTCTGTGCGGGGAGCAGCACCCAAGCTGCTAACACCTGGTGCCGGCTGGAAAGAACCACTTACTTCCACAACCAGCACTTCATAAAAGAACGGAAAAGAAAAAAAGAAAGGAAATACAGTCATACAAGTCGATTTCTTCATATGAGGTACAGCTGAGGACTACCATCACCCCCCCGAGTACAAGTCAGCATCATCATTACTGGATCGGACCGGGAAAATAGGTATACTATACAATTATGAGGGTGTATTCCGTTCGGGGGAAGACAGAAGAAAAAGTAATACAGGTTCACTCCAGACTAGCAACTTAGGGCATACTAACACTGGCACTTTCCTAAACGTATCTGATGGCAATCATGGCAAGACTGGATGTTTCTGATGGCAATTACGTCCCGAAATGAGGAATATGTTCTTCCCCCGAATACAACCTAAGCGGTTCAAAGGAGGACCGCCAACCTATGGAAGCAGCAGGGACACAGCTTAAATTCACTACCCCAAGGTAAACAATGCTAGGGTGATGGGTCTACACCTCTACCTATCTCTGCTCTGTGCGGGGAGAAGCACCCAAGCTGCTAACACCTGGTGCGGGCTGGAAAGAACCACTTCTTCCACAACCAGCACTTTATAAAAGAACAGAAAAGAAAAAAAGAAAGGAAATACAGTCATACAAGTCCATTTCTTCATATGAGGTACAGCTGGTGCACTACAGCTTGTTGCCAGAGGACTACCATCACCCCCCCGAGTACAAGTCAGCATCATCATTACTGGATCGGACCGAGAAAATAGGTATACTATACAATTATTATGAGGGTGTATTCTGTTCGGGGGAAGATAGAAGAAAAAGCAATACAGGTTCACTCCAGACTAGCGACTTAGGGCATACTCACACTGGCACTTTCCTAAATGTATCTCATGGCAATCATGGCAGGACGGATGTTTCTGATGGCAATTACGTCCCGAAATGGGGACTACCTTCTTCCCCCGTATACAACGTACGGTCATTATCTTTCAGTCTAAATACAGCTATAATAGCTGTACATTGTATTCGGGGCAAGAACGTAGTCCCAGTGCGAGTATGCCCTCATACAGGTGTGGATGATCATATTCAGGCATGTGGCATTTGCTGCTGGAGTGGATGATGACAAGCATGGATATCAAATCCCGTCACACAATTCAGTAACTAACCCTTCGAGACGAACAGCACATCTATTAACCAGCAGTCCAATTTGAGCAACCTTCCACGACATAACATGTCCACTGACAAAGCACACAAAATAGGAAAACACCGCATACAGTGAGCCAAGGCCCAAGGGCAGCCAAAAAACATGGATAGCCTTAATGCCCCACAATCTGAAGAGTTATGGACAAACAGCTCTGAACATGGAAAGCCCACCTGACCAGCTCCTGGCTGTCCGCAAATGAGAAGGCGTGGTTTCCGTACAAACAAACTTCTGATATCATGTCCACCAATACCAAAAAGCTTTGCAAGCCGTCCTGGATCTTCCTGATCATCCTCATCGTCTACATCCTCGTGATCATCTCGTGAGGACCTTCCTGATCGCTGCTCTTCATTCAACGGGGGAAATATCTCAGTCAAACTCTTCACCAGAGCATCTAAATGCGGTCCAAGACATGGAATCAGAGCCTTTGGCAATGCCTGAGAATGAACCGTTGCCGACCTGTGTGCTGCTGGTGTAATAGCCTTCATAGCTTCCAAAAAGTGTCGCTTCTGCACCACAATCTCATCGACGTTGATGATATACTGCTCATTGCTGCGATATACCTGCGGATACTTCTTTCTAAATGCACAAATTGCTGCCTCAGTGCAAAGAGCTCTCACGTCAGCACCGCAGTAACCAATACAAGAGGCTGCGAGCTCCTCCCTCTCTTCCACTGAGGGAGGATTTGCCCACTTCCTGGTGTGAATGCTGATGATCTCTGCCCGAGCGGCGGCATTTGGAAGAGGAAAGACAAACTCACGGTCGAACCTGCCAGGTCTCCGCAAAGCTGAATCAATTGCATCTACCCTGTTCGTTGCCCCAATCACAACAACCTGACCTCGTGGATCCAAACCGTCCATAAGGGCCAGAAGCGTCGACACAATCGAGTTGTGAATCTGTTCTTGTTTGCTCGACCGCACAGGTGCAAGGCCATCAATCTCATCAAAAAAGATAATTGATGGTTGGCATCTTTGTGCTTCCTCAAACAGGAGTTTAAGCTGCCTCTCTGCCTCCCCAACCCATTTACTCAGTACATCTGCCCCCTTCCGCATGAAAAAAGTAACTCTTTGTCCAGCTCTTGATGCAGCACTTGCCAGTGCCCTAGCAACCAGGGTCTTTCCCGTTCCAGGTGGTCCACACAAGAGGACACCCCTTGGAGGCGTTATGTTGTACTTAACAAAAAACTCCGGATAGAGTAGAGGGAAGAAAACCATCTCTTTCAGCGAATCGATGTATTCTGCCAGCCCACCCACAGCATCGAAAGTCACGGAAGTGTCAACTGCAACAGGTTGGATGTCAGCTCCTACTTTATGCATCGGCCCCCCAAATGCCTGACCCCCCCCTCCTGGAGCACCAACTCCCATGCCGCCTCCTGTGAAAGATCCCCATCCACTCCCTGCCGCACCAACTCCCCAGGTTGCAGGGTTGTTCATATCAAATCCAGATGGCAGCCATGGAGCATCGAGCAAGCCCCCACCTCTGTTCCATCCCCGATTCTGATCGACCTCATCCAAAAGCAGTGAATCATCTGAGTCTTCTGTCCGTAATGGCCGCTGACGTTTCCGTGAACCTTGACGAGGCACTTCTCTTCTTCTTTTCCTTGGGCGTCCTGCAGAGAGCGTCCTCTCCCTCTTGATTGGTGAGCGAGGCCGGGCTGGCTTTTCTTCCCTTCTTGGAGAGAACCTCTGTACCTCTGTCCGGTTCCTCAAAGCATAACGCCGTCCCCGTTCCTGCTCTTCTGTCTCATCCTCCTCTTCCTCTTCTTCCTCCTCTTCCTCCTCCCCATCCTCCCCATCCTCCCCATCCTCCCCCTCTTCTCCCTCCTCACCCTCCTCCCCTTCCTCTCCCTCCTCGCCTTCTTCTTCCTCCTCCTCCTCCTCCTCTTCCACCTCATCCTCAGCTCCTTCCTCATCCTCATCCTCATCCTCCGAAGACGGGTCGGGATCATCATCCTCAATTAATAATCTACCCGCCAATTTCGTTTTCACAACACCATTTCCTTGTTGAGACGCATGTCCTTCACCGTCCTTACCATTCACATTCTTTGAATCACCATCCTCCGACTCCCTCATCTGCATCTCATTCCTTGTGACTGCACCGTTTGCAGCTCTTGGCCGAAGGCCAACCCTTCGAGGAGCAACCACATCCACATCCTCCTCTCCAAGTTCCTCGTCTCCCTGCTGAGAAGAGCTGTTATTTTCTCTTTTCGTATTGTTTAACTTCATCTTTCGCATCCTTGCTTTTCTGTCTCGCTTAGACTCCCTACGGCGGCGGCCCCTATCCTTTTCCCCAACCCGGTCTTTATGCAATGCAGAAAATTTGCGTACATCCTGGTCTTCCTGGGATGTGTCCGAGTGGTGAACTTGCAGATCTGAAGCATAGACCTGTAAACAAAACCAACAGTTTCTAGTTGGCAATTTCATACAGATCACACACTTCATTTTGTTGTGATCCACGACCCTTGAATGCAACATCGCTTACATGCAGCAGGTTTTACATGTCAATTAATGATTCACTACCATGGGCCACCAAGTCGCATACAAAGCGGGGGTTGCCGGCTTGATCATGACACAAGGTTGCACTCCACTAGCTCCCAAGACTTCAAATTGGTATGCGACGGAGGGGAAAAGGCCGGGCGCGGGACACTGCACCATCACAATGCATGTGCAGTAACGATCTGATTGCGATGTACACTGTCACATTCCCACAAGATCTCTCCCAGACCCATAGAGTGGTCACCAGAGGCTCCCTCTTTGACACCACTGGAGTGGTCACCAGAAGCTCCCTCTTTGACACCACTGGCAGACTGCTGGGCTGCCAACCAGGTGGAAGGGGACGGGATGTGGAAAAGAGCAATCACAGCAAAAAAATGCAACGGCAATCCCGCACATGCTACACATCATGCAGTCTTCTCTTTTGAGTTCCCTTATTTTGCTGTGGCTCCTTGGCCATCCAAGGGGTGACTGCCAGCCTACTCCTCCATAGCTTCTGTCAGTCACCAGGCTACTAGCCCATGGGCTAGCAATGACTAACAGGCTCGACCCAACACAGACCTGCTGTCTATTTCATATGGCCACAACTCATGGTATCAGGTTTCATTAGTCGTCTGAGTCAGCAAGGATAGGACTTGAATTGGAGACAGAAGTTACCCAATGACGAGGAGACAGGAAAACCAGAGAATGGAAGGCTGCTAATCTCGAGACTTGAGCCGGCCTGCGGAGCTGATGGCAGAATAACTTCTTTCAGCACACATGGCAACCACAGGTCCAATTAATGGCAATCACATTTCCAGATAAAAACGGCCCATATGAAGTGTAGAGGGCAGGAACACTTGCAAATTTCAATTATCGATCAGCAGAGCATAGAACGACGCACTCTCTCTCTCTCTCTCTCTCTCTCTCTCTCTCTCTCATACACACACAAACAAACACACATGCAGCCCCAAAGCGGGCAGGGGGATAAGAACCGGGAGGTGGGGGTGAGTAGCGGCTACCCTGCTCTTTATGTTCTCTCTCTCTCTATCGCAGACACACAACCTCTCTCTCTCTCTCTCTCTCTCTCTGACACACACACACACACATGCAGCCCAAAGCAGAGAGTGGGATAAGAACCGGCGAAAGGGGGTTAGTAGCGACCACGTTGCTCCTCATGTTCTCCCTCATGTTCTCCCTCTCTCTGTGGCACACACACACACCACCTCAATTGACAGCTTGGGATACTTTGAGGGAACTGGGGGAATGGCAGGAGATTAGGAGAGGCTTGGAGGAGGGGGGAGGCGGTCACTACCCTGCTCCTCTCTGTCTGTCTGTCTGTCTGTCTGTCTGTCTGTCTGTCTGTCTGTCTGTCTCTGTCTGTCTCTCTCTGTCTGTCTCTCTGTCTCTCTCTCTCTCTCTCTCTCTCTCTCTCTCTCTCTCTCTCTCTCTCTCTCAACCCTTGTCTCGCTCTCTCACACACACATACTCAGGATAGAGAGCATACCCAGAAGTGATCGAAGGTAGAGAGAGCTGGTGGAAGACAGATTGGGGAGGTGTGAGGTGATGGCTGGAGGAGGCTGGCACTGGGAGGTTGGGAGGAAGAGAAGGCGGCTCGCACCGGTAGGCTGGGGAAGTGATTAGGGTTATACCTCTCTCTGTCTCTCACACATGTATGTCTTCACTCAGCACGGACAACAT